TGTGTGTGTGTGTGTGTGTGTGTGTGTGTGTTTCATTTTTAAAAGAGGGACACTTTCTGGTTCTATTATTAACACCACCATAAATTAGGATTGTTCCGTAGTTACTCATTACGTTGTTCCAAGCGCAATGAGCATTCTGAAATCTCTCTTGCCAATTCCGCCACCTAGTGGCTAGTTCATTAGTTTTATCCTGAAAGGCAAAAATGCATACAGGCAATGGCCTAACATAAACCTAGATTAGGTACAGATAAATCCTACACACACACACACACACACACACACACACACACACACACACTACCCTTCCCATGTGAAACATAATACAGTATTGCTTTTTCAGTACCAATTCTAACTTTTTCTTTGAAGAACATCTAAAATGCAATGTTTTGTTTTATTTTATTGATTAAAAATGTGTTAGTAGGTTAATGGTTCAAGCCACCTATATTCCAACCAATCATAAATTCAGATGTCCCATTAGCCATCCTCTATATACCTTTTAATAATACTCATATGAGCATGCTTGGTGAGTTCCTGGGCTGAAAAAACTTGCCTCTGCCACAGGTTTACAATTACTTAGCAGGAACTTGTAATAAAGTGTCATGGTGCTAACAGGCATGGAATTAAGTCTTTATTGCCAAAAGTACACTTACCAGTTAGGCAAATGATGACAGAAAGCAGCTGTTAATTTAAGATTTTTAAAAATCCATTCTAACCTACTAAACATGGTGATATACCACTTTCACAGACAGACTACATCAAAACATGATTATATGCAGCAGTAGATACATCTTCTATAGAGACAAACATAAGAAAACTAAACAGTTTATTTTGTTGTCCAACTTCTTCTGCACACACTGCAATTTTTAAATTGTTTTCCCCAGTTTTTCTTGTCTACTACTAGCTAGATAGGACAAGTATTGTAACCTCAGTGCCAGAAATCTTGACTACCGCTGTGGTTTTATGTGGGGCTGCCCTTGGCTCTGGGAGTTCCAGCTAATGCAGAATGCAGAATGCAGTGGGTAGATTGTTGATGGGGGCAGATGGCAGACAACATGTAAAACCTCTGCTAAACAATCTGTGCTGGCTGCCCATATGCTACCAGGTCAGATTCAAGCTTTTTATATTAACATACTTGGCTCCAGCATAACTTGGACCACCTTAGCAGAATCACTGAGATCTTCCAGAAGAGTCCTGCTAGTTCTCCTCTATGTTTCAGAAGCCCGACGGCCTTGTGAGGCAGGGTGGTCATGGTCTTATTCACATGGTTCAGAAGTATACAAAGGCAAGGAAGCTGCAATATAGAGATTTGTGTGGAAGTGGCAGCCCACATTTGTATGTTAGCACATCCTACAAGGAGATCAGAACAAATGACAAGATGTGCAAGATCTGACTGGCATCAGAAATCCCAGAATATGATGTATGTCAACATAAAGCATGAGAAACCAAATCAGAGGTGAACAACAGGGGACACCAATTTGTAACAAGCCCCTTGTTTCCAAGGAAAAGCAACATTCCAGTAACTTGCTTTGAAATGCAACCAGGGTGACTGTGTCGAGTCGGAAGTGACAGAAGTGAATGAATGAAAGCAGCTGCTTAGCGTTGTTCACAAGGTCCCAACAAGTTTGATTAAGTGGGAAGGGCGGCCCTGGAGAGCTATGGACCTTTTCCCATGAAAAAGCAGCATTTTTCACTTCCGGGTTAGCGCCATCGCCGAATGGCGGACTCCCTCCGAGCTCCGGAGGGAGTCTGCTCGGCAGGGGCTGGGTCCTACCGCGCCGGCGACGCGGGGACCCTTAAAAACCACGGGCACGGAGTCCGTGGACATGGGTGACTCGGCTTGCACCATTAGCGCCCTCCCGACTCGTGAAGGAGCCTTTTAAAGGCTTCGGATCGGGTGCCGGGAGTGGCGTGGTGCTTTGAGTCCACTGCTTTCCTGCCGAGCGCAGCCGCATGCCATTCGACGGAGAGCGCTGACTTCTTCTATTGAAAATTTGGACTATTAACAACAACCCGTGAGTAATTGGGAAACCGGGTTCAAAATTTTGGATTTGGCACGAGCGGGGCGATTTAAAAGGAAGTCAATCCCCCCCCCTATTGTAAGCATTCCAAAACAAGGACTGGGTAACCAAGGTCCAAAGGGAAGTATGTCTCTGATAAAAATCATTAATTTCACGATGGGAAATTATAAGAAATGTGCTGGAGGAGAAGAGTGGAGGGTGAGAAGAAAATGCAACCCCCCCCCCTGGGAACCGGGGCGATTCGTGGAGCCTGGTGAAGAGAGACGGAGACTTTGACAGCTGTCAAAGTGGCTGTCAAAGCTGGAGAATATAAAGAGGACTTTATGAGGACCTTGCTGGTTAATTTTGTTACAATTTGCTATAATATGGATATAAACTGTTGGAAAATAAGCAACAATTTGACTTTTGGATTAGAGGATACAGTTATTACAATCCTCCTAGAGGGGCTTCGGGATACTACAAGAACGGTCGTAAGTGGAAAAATACCCTGGGATTCGCACAGGATTTGTTATCTTCTGGGAAAGCTGCAAAACTGAAAGAGTATTTTGTCTACAGAGGAAGACAATGGAAATTTTTATTGAAGAAAGAAAGGGACTGGACGTAAGTTTTGTTCCTGAATAACAAACCTCTGCAGAGACACTAGATTTCTGAATTAGAAAGTTTTAGCAGCTGAACAGGACAAGAAACCTGAGAAAGTGAGGAACAAGAAGAATAAAGGACTGATTACGACACGGAAAGAACAACGGGAGGAGTGGTAAAGATCAAGGAAATTAAAGACCTTTGTTAGATTGGACATTTGAAGTCAAATATTATTTAAATTAATAAACTAAAAGAAAACCGGCAAGATGGAATTGGGGAGAAATCTGGTCATGAAATGAGACTTCCAAGCTGATAATGTATAGACTGATGGACATGGGGAATTCAAACCGGGAAGGGGGGAGATTTGAAATCCAAAGGCTGTGTAACCATTTTTTGAATTTTTCTATATCTCTTATTTTCTATTTCTTTACATAACTTACGCATGTTATTTTACTTTGATCGGACGTGTTTAAAAAAAAGGGAATTTGTGGAAGGAACTGGGGTGGATCTTGGGGAAAATCTTTTTTCTTTTCTGTTAATGATGTGGGACGGTGGTAAGATTTGTACAATTCAATCTGGATAGTGGGTTAAACAAATTAAGCTTTAAATTGGGAGTGAGAGCTTGTAGAACCAAATTAAGGAAAGGGGAATACAATTGGGGGGGGGAGGGGGGGAGTCCCAGAAAGTAGGGAATGAAAGTAAGGTTTTTAAATATCTTTTTTCTTTTGTCTTTTTTCTTTGTATTTTTATATTTCTGGAAACTTTAATAAATATGATTTAAAAAAAAAAAAGAAAAAGCAGCATTTTACATATCATTTAACTCTATTTTTTACAATCTGCCTGTTATGTACTGAAGTTCTCACCCTGGGCCAGCAGAGGGATACTGTAGATAGTTTTCACTCAGATCCACATATGCAAATAAGGGATCTAAAGGGATAGTTACAGAAAATGGTTACTGTTGCGTTCTAGTGGAGCTCTATATAAGCAGGCTGGCTGAACCCTTCAGTTCAGTCCTGTTCTGGCCTGTGAATAAACAAGAGCTGTTTGAAGAATCGCTGTGTCGTCTGATACGTTCACCCACAACTTAACCCGGCCCACTAAGCGGAATGCACCTTCAAATTCATTTATCAGCAGGAGTGGGGGACCAAGAATCCCCTTCTCCTCCCAGGAGCCACATGCTAGTGGTGGGCAGGACCAGAAAGAAAGGAGGCAGCACAATGAAAGTACACTAGATTAGCTTCTACACAACCTCTCACACACACCCCTCTCTCCTCCATCCAGGAAAGGAAGAGCTCATCAGAGGCAAAAACACTTCAAGGAGGTGCCTGGCTAGGGTGGAGAGGGCTGTGGCCTGGGAGAGTCCCAGGGGCCAGATAGAGGCCAAGAGGGCTGCCTTGGGCCCCTGGGACTGAGGATCCCCACCCCTGAGCTCGTGCAGAGTGTGTTTTACTAGCTGGGGAAAATGAGAGACAGAATCAACTGCGGTGATCCTTACAAATAACCTTATGTAGGAAATCCAGCCATTTCTTAATTAGTTGTTTCTAAACCACCAGTTTCAAAACTGAGCGACATCACATCACTACAGTGGTACCTCAGGTTACATACACTTCAGGTTACATACGCTTCAGGTTACAGACTCCGCTAACCCAGAAACAGTACCTCAGTTTAAGAACTTTGCTTCAGGATGAGAACAGAAATCGTGCTCTGGTGGCGCGGCGGCAGCGGGTGGCCCCATTAGCTAAAGTGGTGCTTCAGGTTAAGAACAGTTTCAGGTTAAGTACAGACCTCCGGAATGAATTACGGTAAGTACTTAACCCGAGGTACCACTGCACTTGTAAACTTAATTTTGGAGCTCTGGCTTCCCTGAAAGTTCCTCCTCAGACCTTGAAGTTTAGCTCAGCACCCCCAGAGACAAGGAGTAGGTGAATTATGGTTACTCAGTAGTGAGCAGTATCATTCCAAATGATGTATCTGGCCACAGACAAAAGTTCAAAGAGGAAGTCGGAAGTCGGAAAGACCTCAAGCTTGAATGTGCCCTTACTTAGACAATTATCTAACTGCAGGGGTGGTGGGTCATCTGTAGCTGCTCTGGACTCCAGCAATTGTTCAGAAGAAATCAGGGGATGGTGTGATAATTTCTGCAAGCTTAAGCTTAGACAAATATTTGTCTATAATCAACAACTAGGCTCAGGAAGCTTCAGTACTGTAAGTTACATATAACAACTAATGATTGTATTGAAGAGTTAATTTTCTTGATCAAAACAGGAAGGTGGAATGTAATGAAGTCTCTTTCTTCCCTTTTGTACCAGATTTAGCACTTAAGCTGTTGCTTATTCAGTAACGTTCCACTTCTGCGCAAGCTTGTGCTGCTGGGAGAAGTTTCTTCTTCAATCCAGGAAGCTTTCATCTGAGTTTGTTCGCAAAATCTTTCAGAAGACCTTTCAGATCATTCAGCTTCAAATTAAAAACAAACAAACAAAAAGCATCTCATGAGAGGGTAACAAGCGCACGGAATTATAAGGCAATAGCAATCATTGTTACAATTCAAGCGCAGGATTTGTCTCCTGACTAGTAGAAGAGACTGCGTAGAACTGTCTATAAGCTCAGCCTTAAACTAACCCAACTAAGTAGCAGATTCCAGTAACTCAGCTAATACTTTCTAGTTTGCAGGCATACACCATAAAATAACTTGCTGGTCATGCAATGTGAGTGCACCAAAATGAAGCTTACATTTTTGCAGTTGTCCTCTGAATTCAAGTGAGGAATGACACTGTCCTGTCTTGCTCCTATTTCTTTAGTGGAAGACAGATGGCAAGACCTGCCGTTGCTTCCCACAACTGCCACCCCCCCACAGATGCATCACTTTTTAAGAGGAGGGCCACCATAAGAGCTTAAAATCTACTCCTCATGTTGGATTATTGTTGTTGTTCTTGTTATTTCCCAAATTCCTTAATCACCCTTCACCTGAGGATTGCAGGGCAGTTTACAATAATTAATAACAATAATACCTGTTATTTAAACAGCACATATAAACTGTTCAAATTGCTTCACTTATATTATCTTATTAATCCTTACAACAAGCATACTATGGTAGGTGTTCATTCAACAAAGGAACATGGTTGACACAACCCTTTGTTGTGACACCAACAGCAGGGCTGTGAGTGCTGAAGGCCGCTCCCTGAAAGGCCCTTTGCACCTGGCCTATGTAGGCCCACCCTGCCCTAGTCCAGTGACTGCATTTAAATGATTTCTAATAGTTTTAATTTGCGGTGTTTTAAATTTTGGTTTATCATTTGGTTTTTGCTCTGTTAGGGGAGGGATTAATGTTTAGTAGGTGCTAGGGGTTAATTTAATTTTTAATATAACCGAATTGTTGTTGTTTTTTAAATTAGTTTCTATTGTTTTATAAAGTTTGTATTTGGTTCTTAAGGGGAGAGGGTCAAGGCTGCCAGGGAGTGGACCCCAGCCAACAGAATGGCTGGGGCAGGTTCCACAGTGGGCGGGATGCACTGGGACACCCGATCTCAGTGATCACGTGTAGGAGGAGTAGTTATGCTGAGACCAGACCACGTCATTACTGAGGAGGCAGGTTTAGTCGTTGTTTGAAGATTATTCCTGCCTCCGGGTCTGGTCTTGACTGGATGGATACTGGAATCACCAAGGGAGACCCCCATGACCGGAAGGTGCTGCTGTGCAATGCCAGGTCAATGATTCACACGACGGCTGTCTTCCACAATTTGATCGGGGATGGAGGACTTGACCTGGCATGTGCGACAGAGACTTGGTTGGATGAAGCAGATGGGTCTGTTCTTGCCGCTGCTTGTCCACCAGGTTTCTCTTACACACAGCAACCCAGGTCATGTGGGCAGGGAGGGTGGGGGTTGCAGTGATTTTTAGGAAAACAACAACAAACTTCTGGTTATGTGAAACATTCAGTAAACACACAAGACGTAACTAGCTGTATGTTTGAAAAAATAATATATACTATTCATTGTATTGAATTGTTGATTTCAACAGAAGTAGCTCATAAAGTTCAACGAAAAAAGTAGAAGACCCAGTGGATCAGTTCATTCTCTAATCAGTTTATGAATAAGGTATGTGAAATATATGTGAGAGTGTCTATTCCACCTGTCTGTTCATAGAGTCCAACAATCCACACAAAAGGTTGTTGCAGTTCCACAGAATCCTTTCACAGAGTCTAAATCCGTATGCACCAATATATCTTTAAATGACTTAGTGTGTCGTTTGGCAAAAAGGGGGATATTCTCACACCCAGGGATGTCCTTAAGAATATGCCAGTGGCGTCTAATAATTTTCTCAATTTCAAAAGTCATATGGTTGTATTCTAGGGAAGCATAAATACGTGAAGATCTAGTCTTTACATGTGAACCAGATGTAAGAAGGGTCGATCTCTTTCTTGTGTTTTTTGAATGGCATATGTTATTACAGAGTTCGGCTAACCTTGTTGTATTAAGGATGCAGAAAGCAAATTAGAATGGACTTTAAAGTTTTTTGGGTGCAATGAATTGCGTTCTAGTCTTAGAAACCGACCTAAGGGAAGGTTATCACGGAGATGTTTGGGATGATTAGATCTATAATGTAACAAGGAATTTCTATCTGTGCTTTTCTTCTAAGGACATACTTTAATTCTTGACTCAGCCACCAAAATTTCTAAATGATTTGTAAATACCCAATTCATTTGAGAGCTTCATGGGTTTATACTGGATGGCTGCGTATTACTGCCATTACCGTTATTATTTTTATTACCATATTTACTGAAATGTAATGTGCACCTTTTTTGGCCAAATTACATTGGGGAAATTAGGGTGTGCATTAGATCTGACACCGCATTTACATTCACCAGCAAATACTTTTTTGGTTTCAAGGTTCTGAAAGTTGAGGTGTGCATTAGATTTGATGGTGCATTAGATTTGCATAAATACAGTATGTCAAGGCTTGACACAGTAGTTTTCAACAACATATAAACAAAACAATAAGTTTTCCCCATACTAAAAACCTTATTATTAATAATGATAATGTACCTTCATATCCAGTTGTCTAAATCGCTGGGCCATTCTGTGAAAGGAAACATAACCATCAGGAATGAAGCTTTGATTTATGGATGTCTTAACTAGAGACACAAATCTAGCCAGGGGTGCCAACCTCAATAAAATATTTGTGTGGGGGGGGGGCACAATCATAATCCCCGCATAATCAATCACATGACGTGGTGCATACACACCATTTGACTAGCAAGGCCCATCAACTGGGGAGCAGCCCCCTCAAATATTTTACTGGGGCCCAAAGCCCCCAAAGCCCCTAGGAGTTGGCTCCTATAGATGTAGCCATGTAACCTATAATGTAATCCTTAAAGGTAAAGGGACCCCTGACCATTAGGTCCAGTCGTGACCGACTCTGGGGTTGCAGCGCTCTTCTCGCTTTATTGGGCGAGGAAGCCGGCGTACAGCTTCCGGGTCATGTGGCCAGCATGACTAAGCCTCTTCTGGCGAACCAGAACAGCGCATGGAAACGCCGTTTACCTTCCCGCCTATTTATCTACTTCCACTTTGATGTGCTTTCGAACTGCTAGGTGGGCAGGAGCTGGGACCGAGCAACGGGAGCTCACCCCGTCACGGGGATTCGAACCGCCAACCTTCTGATCGGCAAGCCCTGGGCTCAGTGGTTTAGACCACAGCTCCATCTGCGTCCCTAATGCAATCCTTAGGAGAGTCCTTACTCCCTCTCTGCACGCCAAGGATGCTTCTTCTAAGATGTTGCCACAAAATACATGTGCGCATTATCTAAAAAACAAAGTACCCATGCTTCTTGTTTTACCTATTTGTAAATTTAATCAGTTAATAGCCTTGTACAATTAATTGATTAAAATTTCTTTAATCAGGTTGAAGTCCTACATTTTACATAAATGAGATAGAGTTTAAAATAAAAACTAAAGCTACTCATTTCAAATTTAGTTTTGTTTCGTTCTAGTGCTGTTACTTAAAATATACTTTCATCATTGCACTGGTGGCTTTGGGGTTAATTACCTATGCTATTTTTAAAATGTTGGACACAGTTAACAGCTATAGCCATATTTTGGAATCTTTACAAGTTGGCTTGTATTATTAGCACCAGAACTCTTCTAACTGTTCATTCTTAAATGGAAAGCCAATATATATATGAATCAATTGAAGAAGTCTTTAAGAACATGAAGCTCTGCAAGGTCTCCAGTATGGGTTTCAGAATAAAATTTAGGCTCTGAAGTTTGATTAGATGGGAAAGACAAAGAAAGCCAGAAAACATACTCTTCTGATGAGTCATTAGCCTTGATATTGATTTTTACTAGATAATTTTCTTTCATGACAGCTTCCCATGCCAGCGTTTCATTATCTTCATTTTTTGAACCTTCAAGATATAAAATCCACACAAAATTGGAACATGGGCATATTTATTGACAAAGCAGACAAAGAGCTCTTGAATGCAGCTAAAACAGTAACCTCAGTTTGTTTCAGAAGATCTGATGCTATTACAGCTCAATTCAGAAGACAGACCAGAAAAAAGCCCTATTGAGTTCAGCTAAGTGTGTCTTAGCTTAACCCAGTACAGTGGTACCTTGGCTCTCAAATTCAATCCGTTCCAGAAGTCCGTTCCAAAACCAAAGCATTCCAAAACCAAGGTACACTTTCCCATAGAAAGTATTGCAACCCCTAAAACAGCAATTTAACATGAATTTTACTATCTAACGATACCATTGATCCATAAAATGAAAGCAATAATCTATGTACTGGACTATAAAATAAATAAGACAGTATTGTAGATGATAAAAATAAAAATTAACTTTTTTTCTTACCTGCACTGATGATAGTCATTGTATGGATGGGGGGCTTTTATCCATTTCCGCAGTCACACAATCAATCTATCAGTAGCTGAACTGGGTTCCACACAGTCACAAAAACAAATGAACTGAAAAAGCCTCAAAAAGAAAAACGCAAAATAAATAGCAAAAACAAATGTGCCAAACTTAATCGGTTCCGGAAGCCTGTTTGACTTCCGAAATGTTCTCAGCTTCTGATTGGGGCATGTGCCCTGGAAACAATAGCTGACAGCGGAATCAGACGTTCAGTTTCTGAAATACGTTTGAAAACCGGAACATTTACTTCAGGGTTTTTGGCATTTGGGAACCAATGTGTTTGAGTACCAAGGCGTTTGAGAACCAAGGTACCACTGTATTGGAAACCAGTTTTCTCTTTAGCTAGTTTTCTCTTTAGCACCCCATACTTTGTTCCAATGAAGGGCTATTTTTACATGGGGAACCTTTCAAATGTAAAAAGGTAAAGGTACCCCTGCCCGTACGGGCCAGTCGTGTCTGACTCTAGGGTTGTGCGCCCATCTCACTTAAGAGGCTGGGGGCCAGCGCTGTCCGCAGACACTTCCGGGTCACGTGGCCAGCGTGACGAAGCTGCTCTGGCGAGCCAGCACCAGCGCAGCACATGGAAACGAGCTGGGACCGAACGACGGGAGCTCACCCCGCCGCGGGGATTCGAACCGCCGACCGTGCGATCGGCAAGCCCTAGGCACTGAGGTTTTACCCACAGCGCCACCCGCGTCCCTGGCCTTTCAAATGTAGTAACTCTCAAAATGAAAGTGCAACATTGGAAAACAATTGTCTGAGAAGCCTTCATACACTTCTGTGACTCCTACCCTTCCTCCCATAAATAGTTACTGTGCAAAATACTGCATTACTTACAGCAAATTGATGGCTGTTTACATTCATTTTTACAGCAGCATTTTAAAAGTTTCCTCATCACCATGTAGATATAGGCAAAGATGACAAAAGGAAATGGTATAGTTAAGCGACTGCAATACTCTTGAATCAGAAAGTAGCGCTGGAACTTCCATACTTGGTCATTGTTCTCTTGAACCGATCCAACAGTATAACTAATGGATAGATTAACACAGGGGGTTATTAGTTCCATATCTACGTTTGCTCCTTATCTAATATGTCAAAAACAGCACATACTTCACTTTTCAGTAAGGGTTGGTGATAATGGATCAATTACAGGGACTATGAAAGCCTCAAGATTTCCAAGCTGGAGGGGAGTTCACACTAGTGTTATGAGTTTGCAGGGGGCAGAGTCTCCTAAAAGTCCTAGGAACCAGATCCCCACCCCCAATCCCACCCCCAAAATTGTAAGGTGTCTTTGGGGTTAATTACCTATGCTATTTTTAAAATGTTGGACACAGTTAACATCTATAGCCATATTTTGGAATCTTTACAAGTTGGCTATTTATCTACTTGCACTTTGTGCTTTCATACTGCTAGCTTGGCAGGAGCAGGGACCGAGCAACAGGAGCTCACCCCATCGCGGGGATTCAAACCGCCAACCTTCTGATTGGCAAGTCCTAGGCTCTGTGGTTTAACCCACAGCGTCACCCGCGTCCCTCCAAAAATTGTAGGAGATTACTAAATGCCTGAAGTTTTCACCCAGGTGCAAGACAGCTTAGCAACATAAAAATGCAGGCTGAATCAGTTTCTTGGCCAGGATTCTCTTAGAGAGAACCATCATGTTGTAGAAAGGAAGATAAGGAGCGGCTGGCATAAACAGTAAACAGTTACCCTGTGCTGGTGAGGAAAGGAGTGTGAGTCCCTCCTCCCATGTTCAGGATTATCAGTGTTTGAGGATGCAAGCTGGGAGGGGGAATTCCAGGTGGGCAGTGGGTGGTGACACAGGCGGAAGGAAAAGCTGCGGCATTTGAGAAAGAGGTTTGGACTGGGGGACCAGGGGAGAACTCCCTGTGTGCTGGCTGGGAGACGCTGCACCAAGAGACTGGCTGCTTGTTTTGGACCCAAGCTTGCTGAAGCTTAGAGAGGAGCAAGGAGTCTCTTGGGATGTAATGTTCTGCACCCTCTCCATTGAAGGCTGTTAGGTGTAAATGTGTGTAAAATAAACCACATTTCTTAAAGACATAGCCTCCGCTGTGCCTTGACTTCCCAAAGGAAGCAACACTTGGTAAGCGAGTACCTGGCGTCCCCTGGGATCTCGCTACGGCTCCGTAGCAAGTGGTGGCACATATTTTTATTTCCTAGTTTATATACTGTAACCACTGGTTAAAATTCTATCATTAATGCAGTAATTACTACATTGTTCTTTCAGTTAAAAAATACAAAAGCCACATGTGGCTTTTTCCATTGCTATTTTCACTTTTTAACACTTTTTGTACTTATTGTTTATCTACCGTACCTTATTCTAATCATGTTGATTTTTCTTCAAGTATGAATGCATTTTCTCATTTGGGCACATCTAGTGGCAGCTAGACTGGTGACTGGGAGCGGCCACTGAGACCACATGACACTGGTCCTGAAAGATTGGCTCCCAGTACGTTTCCGAGCACAATTCAAAGTGTTGGTGCTGACCTTTAAAGCCCTAAACGGCCTCAGCCCAGTAGACCTGAAGGAGCGTCTCCACCACCATCGTTCTGTCCGGACACTGAGGTCCAGCGCTGAACCGCAATGGCGGTTCCCGCATTGCAAGAAGCGAACTTACAGGGAACCAGCAGAGAGCCTTTTTGGTAGTGGTGCCTGCCCTGTGGAACACCCTCCTACCAGATGTCAAGGAAATAAATATCTGACTTTTAGAAGACATCTGAAGGCAGCCCTGTTTAGGGAAGCTTTTAATATTTGATGAATTATTGATTTTTAATATTTTGCTGGAAGCCACCCAGAGTGGCTGGGGAAACCCAGCCAAATAGGCGGGTTATAAGTTATTTATTCTTATTATTCTTATTCTTATTCTTATTCTTATTCTTATTATTAGTGTCTCAGTATATTGACAGTAGAAAGGGCAGAGTTAGGGAAACAGTGGCAAGCAGAGGAGCAGCTGTGTAAAAGTCTTGTTTTGAACTAGTGTATCTCAATTTCATCAAGATCGGAGCCACCCCACTTACTGTGAAATCCTACACATGTTTATTAAGAAGTAAGTCCTGCTGTGTTCAAGGGAGCTTATGCCCAGGAGTGTGTGCATAAGACTGCAGCATAAGAATCCATTTCTATTCAAAATCACATTGCATTGACAAAGAATAATTTTGCAGAAAACAGTGAAGTAATTTGACAGTTTGTGATGGTAATGTTATTTCACCAAAAAATGGCTATTGGTTGCTGACGTGCTGTTGATACCACATCACTAATTAAAATGCATTGGTAATTACAACCTTACTTGTGGAGATTAAAATCATATGTTAGATTGAAATTAATCCTATTCTAAACAGTTTAACCATTGAAAGAGAACTAAAAATAGATGACTGGTGTGATCCAGTCCGCTGCATTTCCGAAACAATTTGTAGGCAGCTAGAACTCATGTTAAAGGTAAAGGGACCCCTGACCATTAGGTCCAATTGTGGCCGACTCTGGGGTTGCAGCGCTCATCTCGGTTTACTGGCCGAGGGAACCAGCTTACAGCTTCCAGGTCATGTGGCCAGCATGACTAAGCCGCTTCTGGCGAACCAGAGCAGTGCACGGAAACGCTGTTTACCTTCCCGCTGGAGCGGTACCTATTTATCTACTTGCACTTTGACGTGCTTTCGAACTGCTAGGTTGGCAGGAGCTGGGACTGAACAACGGGAGCTCACCCCGTCGCGGGGATTCGAACCGCCGACCTTCTGATCGGCAAGTCCTAGGCTCTGTGGTTTAGACCACAGCGCCACCCGCGTCCCAGAACTCATGTTAAGAAGATTGAAAAACCATCAGCCACACCCTGTGGCGTTACACCCAGCACATCAGTCTACATACCCAAACATGGCTATTAATAAGTTAACCAGGAGAATATTGGTGGACAGCATGTAGATGCACACTAGTGGAATGGTGATCCACTCTGGGAATCGGGAACATGGTTGGACTCCACTTCTACACACAGAGGCTTCGATTCATTCCCAGTGACAGTACACTGATCACCCTCCAATGTGGTACCTATTATGAAAGGAACAGAAAAGACTCCTGAAATTCCAAAGCTCTTGTTAAGATTATGACACCAAACTCATGACATGTGTTGTCAGCACATTCTTTAGTGCTACCGGCACCTTTGTCTCTGCTGGATTTTGCTGAGCTAATCTAGTTGCCTAATAGGAGTGCATAAAGCTAGAATCCTATACAGATAACTTTGTGAAAATTGTACATTGTAGAGATTACTGTGCAGAAGTGAATACCTGCTGAGCAAAGATGTGCCCAGAAAACAGAATCCCCATGTGGCTGGCTGCACAATTTAGTACTAAACTGCATCCCATTGTAACATACTCACAATACAACTCTGAATGAGATTTTATTCAGCATGCAGACTTTTGCCACTCCAGTCTTCCTTCTGGCCCTACAAGGAAAGTGACTGGCATAGTCCCAGCATGGATTGTGCAGGTGGTGTGGGCCGATTCAATTTGGATGGATCATGACCTGAACTGAACATAAGTCCACTTTACAAGACCACCTGAGAGCTCTAGTGCCCTAGTCATCTGTGAACACCAGACTGATTTCAGTAAGCCTCTGTGATACTGAAAGAGCTACCTGAATTCTAGCAGCACATATTTCCCACTAAAACAGAAGGGGGGGTGATGAGCTTTGGGCTCCTTAAGGACTGTGCTCCTATCTCCCTATTACTCTGACCCATTGTTCATTGGGATTCATTGTTCATTGGGATTGTATCTTAAGATGGATACCGTCAATATCTGTAGGATAGTGGCCAAACATTACAAGGTAAGGCTCATAGACAACTGATCGAAATATCCATTCCCAGCGGTGTTCATTCTTCCGCAGGATCCCTTGTCTGGCTACACCAAAAGCCACCATCCACACCGCAAAGAGGAACAGGAAGAAAAAGACATCAATCAGCTGTGAAAGGGAACATTTAAAACACAAGTCAGGATGATTCTGTTAAGTCATTCCACGCAGAAGGCTAAGGGGGAAAAGATTAAAAAACAACAACTCGGGAAACTGTCTCTTGCTTCTCACTGCGCATTTATGAGAAAATCTCGCTTGGCGGCTTTGCAGAGGCCATGCACTCCTTGTTGTTTATTTTGAAATCATGTTGTTTATTTGAAATCAGAGCAATGTGCATGCTTCCAAGGCAGGGATGCAGAAGCTGTGGCCTTCCAGATACTGGGCCACAGTCCCTGGCCAATGGGCCACGATGGCTAGAGATGATGGGAACTGGAGTCCAACAACACCTGGAAGGCACCAGACTCCACACCCCCCCACCAGCTCTGCCCTAGAGGATACAGCCAGGACAGATGCTCCTGTAGCCAGCTACGTCCAGCACATAATTGCCCAAGTAAGCACTCTATTCACTTGAGTATATAACCATGGAAATGAGTGCTCATGAGAGCTTGCAGTGGCTATTTAGATTAGGTGGGGTTTTTATTTTATTTTTAATCACAATACATACTTTCACTAGATCACAGAAGTAGCTCCTCCAAAGAGGAGAAGTCCCCATATCAGATTAAAACTAACATGTGGAATAACAAAGGGGAAATGATTCAACATCTGCAGTGGCTCCTAACCCCTAGTGCAGTTTACACAACAGTGTAGCGTGATGTGCCTGCATCTGGGGCACGCATACTGGGAGCAGGGTGTGGAGGGTGAAGGGAGCCTGCCATGCCAGCCCAGCCCTCACCACCAATGCCACTGGAGCAACCCCTCTCCTGCACCAGAGCCAAGTGACACAGCCCCCCCTCAGAAGAGTGGCTGTGCTGCAGTCGCCCCTTGTCCACCTCCCTCCATCTGCGCACGCTCACCATCCAGGGAGTGCACTGAGCAAGGAGCAGTGATCTCTGGCCGGGTGGCCATTCAGCAATGGGGCTGGGGATGCAGCAGTGAGGCCAGGCTGGGCTCCGGAGCCCAGAGACCCCTGGCAGCAGGCAGGGAAGGACAGGGAGCCAAGGACAGGACCCAGCAGGACGCGCCTGGGCGGGACAGGAATCATGGCAAAAGCCAGCGCCCACTCAAAATTGTGTGCCCAGGGCCCTGGACCTCCTGAGCGCTATACCCCCGAGTGTACGCGTCTTCCTGGCTTGGGAAGGATTTGTGCTCAGCACCGATGCCTGTTCTGCTACATATAGTAATGTGAGAATGAAGTTTCAGCCCAAAACACTTGTGTAAGTGCTGCCAAACCATAAGACACATTTCTTTCCTTGTTCAATGAAGGTGCAGTGGTGCCTCACAAGACGAAATTAATTCGTTCCGCGAGTTTTGTCGTCTTGCGATTTTTTTCTTCTTGCGAAGCACGGCGTCGGAAAAGTTTTGGAAAAGCTTCAAAAATCACCAAAGTCTTCAAAAACCTCAAAAAAGGCTACCACACCAAAAGGCTATGAGTTGCTCCTCGAAGTCAAGTCGCAACTGTATTAACGGTGTTAAGAAAAAGGAAACAAACTTGCAAGACGTTTCCGTCTTGCGAAGCAAGCCCATAGGGAAAATCATCTTGCGAAGCAGCTCAAAAAACAAAAAACCCTTTCGTTTTGCGAGTTTTCCGTCTTGCGAGGCATTCATCTTGCGAGGTACCACTGTATAAGATCAATGATGGCAAGATTTTGCAAAAAGTATCTGCAGATGTGTCACATGCACACAGACCCACCTCTCATGACAAGAAACCAATCGCCAGCTGGGATGGGGTTTGGTGATGTTATGTATTGAAGTTATCACCATAACTGTCAACTTTCAGATTTGAAAATAAGGGATCAGCAGCCTCACCTGTCCCGGGGACAGTCTACGGGATATCTAACAATCCGGGATAGCAGCGGGAAGCAGCGGGAAATGGCGCTGGAATAAGGGAATTTCCCGCAAAAAAAGGAAAGGTTGACAGCTATGGTTATCACCCTGGCCACCAGGGGTATCATGTACTATATATAGTTTTCACTCAGGTCCACGTCAGTCAGTTTAGGCGGGAAACCCTGGGTTCTTGTTGTTACAATGTTGACAGCCAGCTGCCTATAAAAGCAGGCTGGCTGAGCTGTTTGCTGTTCAGTTCAGTTCCAGCTTACTATAAAGAACCACTTGGAGAAATCTCTGTGTCGTCTGCTTTGTCAACCCACTACTTAATAGGTGACACAACCTCCAGCTCTCTGTAGCACAGCAATTGGCTGTAGAGCAGCAAAGTATTACTGGCCTCAGATCTGAGCCCTATAAGGGATGTTCTGTCTTGTAATTCAGGGCTGTTGTTGAAGATTTGTCACAGAGGTTTGACTGACAGGCACTGCAGAGTTCCTGCACTAATGTCCCTTGCAGAGGATTAATCATGAATCAATCTATCATCAGCACACAGATGACAGAATGGAAACTGTAGGCCCAAACCAGATCGTCGTTCTCTGGTTAAACTTTTATTTACACAGAGAGACCTCTGGGAGATTCAGGCTTGAGTCACACAACAATTACATTTCATATTGAATCAATCCATAGTCCTTACCATTCTCTGAAGCATAATGATCTTGGGTCCTAGATTCCTGCTTACAGTGAAAATATGGATGAGTCTTAGAGTGAAAATAATGTAATCCAGGCAAAAAATTACTCTGCCGGAATACCAGGATGCCTCATTTGAAGAATGGAGCCTGTGCAAATAAACAGATATACAAAATTCCAGTTTTCAGTGTTCCCACTTAATAATATCAACTTGGGCACAATTTGTTTTCTGTCAGATCAGATGTTATGACAGGGTGACACCTTCCCACCCCATTTCCCCAAAATACTTCAGCTTCACCCCAGGAAGCATCACCTTATCTCATTATCATTATCACAGCATGTTTGTCTAGTGCAGCCTCTCTCCATCTTGCATCCCAGCTGTTGGACTATAATTCCCATCCTCCCTGACCACTGGTCTAGTAGCTTTGCAGAAAACAAACGCAGGTGCAGTAATGGCTGGACCTGTTACAACTCACCTGAACACAATTCCTATTATGAAGTAAAAAATCCCAAGGGTGTCCATAACATTCCACAAGTCGGAAAAGTACTTACTACCGTTCATATACCACTAAAGAGGAAAAAGAAGACAAAAGTCACCAAACAAAGGCAGGAGTTCAGAATCCCACAGAGCAGAGTAAGCTGTTAGAAGTGGTTGGACTCCAATTGTCAGAGATTATGGGAGTCACAGCCCGGAGGGCACCACGTTGGCTACTCCTGCCATAATCTAACAATACCACAAACCAACCTTATTTACAATGCATAGCCTTACTATCTAAATTAACATTGCTCACTGAGAAATCGTGACTCAAGAAGCTAATAGAAGAAGAGCGAGTGCAGTGCTGGACTAAGAGCTGGGAGGCCAGGCAAGGCTCTCATCTCCACTCAGCCCTGAAGCTCCCTGGGCCAGTCACTGCCTCTCTGCCTTACCTACCGTACAGGGTTTTTGTGAGGATAATATGGAGAGGTCCTTGGAAGAAAGGTGGGATATAAAAGCATAAATAAACAACATACCCTGCTGCCTAATCCCATGCCTGCTTATGCAGAAGTAAACCCCATTTTGTTCAGCAGGACTTTCTCCCAAGTAAGTGTGCAAAGCAAACTAGCTAATAATATCTTATAGCTGCAACATTTTTAGTATACAGTGGTGCCCCGCAAGACGAATGCCTCGCAAGACGGAAAACCCGCTAGACGAAAGGGTTTTCCGTTTTGGAGGTGCTTCGCAAAACGAATTTCCTATGTGCTTGCTTCGCAAGACGAAAATGTCTTGCGAGTTCCTGCGGGGTTTCCCCCCCCCCCTTTTTCCCAAGCCGCTAAACCGCTTACCAGCTGATCGGCTAAGCCGCTTATCAGCTGATCGCTAAGC